AACTGGGAGCTGTCAGATCCCAGGATTTCAGTTCTCTGTCTCCATTTGAAAACGCAGCTGAATCACAGAGCCAAGCAGCGAGACAAGAAAGCAAGTGTGAGCACCGTGGGGAGGAACAAGAAAAGCTCCTGGTTTTCAGGTATTTTCTACTCTCTCAGCAAAGCTCTTAAAAAGCCAGACTTCTCAGTGAATTACTTTATAATTACCTAATTAAAGGAACCTACCTAGTGAGCGTGCTTTCAAAAATCTCAGGGTTTGTCCCAACAATTTGCCACTTTCTGAGGCATTTCAACCGATTTTTGTCATGTACTGAAGGTGTAATAGTTCATATGCACTCACTGCCACATTGTAAGCAAAAAGCTCATTAACAACACTTAGCACAACGCAGCCAGCTTCATTTTTTTTGCCTGTCTCCTGTATGCTACAGACACTTCTCAACACCGTTGCAAAAAAAGAGGGTTTTTTTCCTTTCAAACCCAGCAGAACAGTGTATTTTAGCAGTGCCTTTTAATCTGCATTTTCCTCGGCACACCAGGATATAAATTACTGCAAACACACAAATAATCAGCTTTAGTTCACTGAGAAATTATTTCCCTGTGACACTGGCAAAGGGCAGAACCTCACCCCTGTTTTTACCTCCTGTCCCCTCGCTCCCCCTTTAATCTGTTTTGTTTCCCTGGGTGCCAGAGCTGTAATTCCCCGGCTCCTGAGCCACAAACGACTCTGCAGCCTCACATGAGCCATCTTTCAGCTAAAGTCTCATAAAACCAAGGTGAAGAGCGTTAGGGCTGGTACACACAGAGATATCAACAAGAAACCTGGGATATTCTCACCTGTAAATCAGATTTTTAAATGGTTTCTGTTAAACAATTTGGATTTGCTCCCTCCAGAGCAATGACCCTTAACGAGGATGGTCTTCCTTTCACTGGCATTGAAGGGGGGCTTTTTTTCCATCCAACAGCCCCGGGTGAAGTGTTTGGGAAAGGTGAAGTGTTTACCCACCCAGCCATTAACAACAGGCTGCTGAGACAGGAACATCTCCCCAAAGGGGAAAAACCCAACAACAAAACCAACCCCCGATGAAATATTCAACATGAAAACCACAAAGGTTGTTAAACGAAGTGAGAGAAACTTCTCATTCACTGGAGAGGATTCCTGCAGAAAATAAAGGATTGGGGGGATCTTTGGGGTCTTTTGTCCCACCAGGCAGCTCAGGGTGACCCCAGCTCCCCATTCCCCCCTTCCACCTCACCTGCTGCTCCCAGTTATCCACAAAGATTTCAAGCAGCTCACTGAGTATCTCTCTGTTCATTTACAACAATTTGAAACCAAACCTCTTAGTTCTGTTTTGCCTCAGAGCTGACAACAACTTCAGAAACCCTCTTACACTTCCCCAAAGCAAAAAACTCGTGTGAAAGAATCCATGAGGACCTCATGGGACAGAAGCTGAATTTTGTAGTATTTCCACTTATTAACTGTTCTAAGTCAATCCAGTAACATCCTCTAAGGGCTGAGAAAACACTAAATTTCAATTTAGGAGCCTCAGCAAAAGGCCTAAGACATTTCAGTATAAAAACAGGTAACAAAAGGGAAAAAGGCCAAAAAAACCCCAGGATCTTAAAATGCATTTTCAGTAATTTATGCTGAAAAAACCATCTTTGCTGCTGAGAAAGTGCTTCTTGTCACTTGTTCTGAGACAAAACAGAACTGCTTAAAAATAATAATTAACAAGTGAGTGTTTTAGCACTGCAGAAAACAACCTGCAGGGTGTGATGTGGACAGAGCTGGGTTTAAGGCAGCAAGGACCAGCAACAAATCCACTGCAGCAAAAAAAACCCAGAGCAGAGGGGAGACACAGAACCTAAAGGTGCCTTTTTCTGTCCCAGGGACCAGCAGCACAACACCCCATGGATACATCCCAATCCAGCCGATCCCCAGCCCCGGTTCATTCCGCAGGCTGATCCCCAATCCCTCATCCTCACAGGCCTCTTGTCGAGCCCAGGGCTTTGTACCACATGCAGCTGGAATCTCCGCAGGAACTGCAGCAGGAGATTCCTCACTAACAATCCTTGGACACACAACAGCCAAATAAATCCCCGGTTTTGGCTTCCCGGCTCTAACAGCCCCTAAACTGTTGCATATGTGACTATTGTCCAGCCCCGCTCCTGAACAAGCAGAATTCTCTGTAACAAACCCAACTTGCACAAGACCAAGAATTATTCCAGAGCGGAAAATCTGCCAACTTCGAAACACCCCTTCCACTTGGAGCCAGCTCGTATTCGCAGGGAGAATGATCAGGGGAGGAATAAACACACATTTATGGTTTGCAGCCTCGTGCTGAAAGCCCGGAGACACCAAATGCTGCTCACGCTTGGCACATCGTTTCCAAATATTTGCACCCAGCCTGTTTGGAAACCAAATAAAACGCCAAACGCTTTTGTTGCCCGTTCCTTTTAAAACATCCTCCAACCTCTCTGACGCTGGATAAACTGCAGCAACCCCCGGGTGCAGCTGCCCAAGGCAGAGCAGCAGAAATCCAGGGAAAATTCGATACGGTGCAGCTCCAGCCAGTTCACAGGGACACTTGTTTAATCCAAGCCTAATCCACACTGTTCACACCCACACGGAGCTTTTAACTCACCATTCCACTGATTTACCTGCTCCTCATTCCCGTGTCCCTTCATTCCTCAGCTCCAGCAGCAGCTCAGCTCTCAGCCCCCTCCCTAAAACCTTATTTTCACTCTCCTTATCATCCCATTTAATCTGCTCCCTATTTCCTGCCTTGCCAATCGATTCTCCTCCAGGAGAAGCTCCTGCCGAAGTCAGAGTCTTCCCTGGAACGAGGAATCAGCAGCTCTTTCCCGGGTTTCCACGAGCATCTTCCCCGAGGCGGCAGCGTGGGAAAGGACCGAATTTTGCATCATTTCACGCCAGACGAGCTCAGCGACTCCGGGAGTCCGCAGCATCTCTCCGTGACTGAGAGTACAGGAGTAACTCCGCAAAGTAAAGGCGCTTCCCACCCTCCGGCTCCAATGTTTCGGGATAACGGGATGCTCTCCCCGCTCAGCGTTCTCCTGCTGGAGACCCGGAGCTGTCCTGACGCTCGGATCAGGCTCGTTCCCGGTGGTAACGCGATTAACGGGCGCCTTTCCTAAAATTAGCACCTTTCCCAGCACCGACTCCCCGTTCTAGGGGCTCAGTTATCCCTTATCCGCTATTCCCTCGGCTCTGGGAGCCCTCGTGGCGGGAGGGGGGGTTGTCACTGCTGCGACCCCTTTTGAGGTTTAAAAGGGGATTTTGAAGCAGTTTCTCTCCCGGGGTGGACATTTCCCACCAACAAACCCAACCTCAAGGTGCACCCAGGGCCCCCCCGGATTAACTTCTGCTCCTTCCCTCCCTGCGAGACACAAAACCGCGACTTTTTTGGGGTTTTTTGTATGTGTTTTTTTCTCCTAAATAAATACAAACCCGCACAGATTTT